GAATGACATTAATAATGTTTATTCTTCTCTTCTCTCCACAAAATTGGATTGATCTCTTTTCTTCTTTTGAAGCCTGGTATAGCATTCATTTTTGTAATGTCCAAGGCGTCCACATCTGTAGCATTCCACCTTGGACTTGTCAAAGTGTCTCTTGCCTTTGTTTTCATAATCATTTCTGGCTAGGTCTACTGACCTGCCAACATCTCCACTTCTTTCTCGACTGCCTCTCCCACGACCTCTGCCTCTTCTTTGCCCTCTACCTCTAGGGCTTGAAGATTCACCTGGTGTGGATATTTTTAAGGTTTTCATCTCCTCTATTGCACTTGTACGATTGAGCCTCTGCTCATGTACTAACAGGGAGCTTTGGAGTTCATCTATTTGCATCTCTTCGACATTGTTTGCTTCTTCGATAGAACATACAATGTAATCGAACTTTGGAGTTAGTGATCGCAAAATCTTTTCTACGACCGCAACCTCCGTGATTGAACCACCATGCATCCTCATTTTACTTGCAAGACTTATAACCTTGCCAATATAATCATTCACCATTTCTCCCTTTTGCATTTGGAGAATTTCAAAGTCTCTTCTGACGGCTTGTAGTTGAGCACGTTTTACTCTCGTTGAGCCTTAATACTTCCTCCTCATAGAATCCCAAATTTCCTTAGATGTCTTCTTCTGAAGCATTGTTTCCAAGATAGTCCTGTCAATGGACTGAAATAAATAGTTCTTGACCTTCAGGTCCTTCAGCTTCGATGCTGCCAACAGTTGCTGTTGACCAGCTGAGAGTACCTCGCCTTCATTTGGCTCTTCATAACCCGTCTCCACCATATCAAAGAACTCCTTTGATCTGAGAAAATTTTCCATCAACATCGCCCAATGATCATAGTGACCATCGAACCTCGGGATGGCGGGCTGAACGTAGCTCTCAACTTGTTTTTCTGCTGCCATTTTTTTGCTGCTGCAAGATTGCTCTGATACCAGTTGTTGGTGACAACAGAAAACTGAAGTGAGATTGAGAGGAGGAGTGATTTGAATGACGGGGAGGGAGGTCCTTTTATAGGGGGATTCCTGGAGTTGGTTGAGATTTGTGTGGACGAAATTGAATCCACCTCCTCCTTCTCTTCGGCAGTAACTCATTCAACTCATTCAAACTCATTCAAACTCTATTATTAGCTTCAACAGATACTTAGTCCCTCACAATGAATTTGATCTCAATAGCATTCTCTTGCGTTCTTTGTCTTGTTTCTTTCTCGCGCGCCGTCTTTTTCTCTTTAATCTCTTGGAACGCTATAACGGGTAAGCTTTTTCTCTTTTTGTTATATTCTCTTACAAAGACTAATTGCATATTTTAACCTTGATGCATTCTATGATAATTAGTGCAACTGTATGTGCAAACTTTGATTCATTCTATGATAATTGTTCATATTGGGTTAAATGTTTGAATCATAATAGTTCTATTTTACTTTTTATAGATAGAAAATAATAGTGCAACTGTATGTGCAAGTAGCTCTAGTAATTATAATGCATCGAAACCACCATTGGCTACACAATCTGAATTTAAGAAGAAGAAACCCAGTAAATCAACCGTGTGGGATCACTTTACAAGATTATAGAACAATAATAAGAGGTGCAAGTGCAACTATTGTTCTAAGGAGTATGCTTGTGATACTAATTCTTGTGGAACTAGCACATTATGAAAGCACTTAAAAAATTAGTGTAGGAAGTACACATATATGGTGGAGGACAAAGGACAAACCACTCTAAGTTTTCAACGTTCAATAGATGGAAAGGGTGGTAGTAATATTGTTACTTCATTATTTAGTCAAAAAAGATGTATAACAGCATGTCCCAAGATGATAATTATGGATGAATTATCATTTAAATTTGTAGAGAATGAGAGTTTCAAATTGTTTTGTAGTATTGTATGTCCTAAGTTTGACTCTCCGTCAAGAGTAACCATTGCTAGAGATATATTTCAGCTCTATCTAGAAGAAAAAAAGAAGTTGAAAGATTTTTTAGTCAGTCATTCAAAGAGGGTTTGTCTTACCACCGACACATGGGCTTCGTTGCAAAACATTAATTGCATGGTAATCACGCACATTTTATTGATTCAGAATGAAATTTACATAAAAGAATTCTCAACTTTTGTCAAGTTGCTAACCACAAGAGAGAGAGACTATTGGCAAGATTATTTAGAGTTGTTTATTGGAATGGAGAATCGATAAGGCTTTCTCTATCACAGTTGATAATGCAACTTCCAATGATATAGTTATTTCATATATTATGAGAAGGCTTAGCACTGTCTTAGATGGAGAAATATTACACATGAGGTGTTGTGCTCACATAATTAATTTGATTGTGAATGAAGGGCTTAAAGAAATGCATGACTCCATTATGAGAAGGCTTAGCACTCTCTTAGATTGAGATATGTTAGATCATCCCCAAGAGATTGACAAAATTTAAAGATCGTATTGAACAAGAAAAAAATTAAATGTAAAGCATTTGTTTGTTGGATGTGGCGACTCGATGGAATTCCACTTATTTGATGCTTGATCATCCTTGAAATTTGAAAAAACTTTCAAAGTATTAGAGGAGGAAGAATTAGATTAGGTTGATTACTTCAAAGAGGGATCGTAGAAACAAAAGAATAGGGCCACCAACCATTGATGATTGGAAAAATGTTGCAGTGTTTGTAAAGTTTTTTAAGGTTTTCTATAATGTCACTACGAAGATAAGTGGTTCTTTATATGTGACTTCTACTTCTTATTTTCATGAACTTTGGGATATTCGAGAACTTTTAATTCAGTGGAGTATAAATGTGAACTCTAAGTAACATGAGTTCAAATATGAAAGTTAAGTATGACAAATATTGGGGCTTAGTGGAAAGAATTAATAAGTTGATATTCATAGCAATGGTACTCGATCCTCGTTACAAATTGGATTACATATCATTTTGCTTTTCGAATATTTATGAAGATGCTATGGCTAAAGTGATGGTGGATGGCATAAAGAATTATTTAAGATTACTACAAGTTTTATGATAATGCTCAAGATCATCATCAATCTGAATCAAGACTCACTTCTAAGTCCATGAGTATGATGATGGACACAATTGATGAAGAGGATTTGAGTGGTTCAATATTAGTATCAAGATACAAACGAAGAAGAGAAGAGCAACATTCACTCGAGTTAAAGAATGAAGTGGATCGATATTTATCTGACCCTAGTGAAAAACTTGATGATAATTTTGATGTTTTGGCATGGTGGAAAGCAAATGAGTTTAAATATAGAGTTTTATCACATTCACTCGAGTTAAAGAATGAAGTGGATCGATATTTATCTGACCCTAGTGAAGAACTTGATGATAATTTTGATGTTTTGGCATGGTGGAAAGCAAATGAGTTTAAATATAGAGTTTTATCGAAAATTGCCTAAGATGTTTGGGCCGTTCCAGTGTCGACTGTATCTTCTGAATCAACATTTAGTACGGGTGGGAGGATTCTTGATTCTTTTAGGAGTTCTTTGACACCTAAAACAGTGGAAGCTCTGATATGTACACAAAATTGTATCCGTAGAAAATTAGTATCGTTGGATATTCCTCAACAACTTGAAGATTTGGAGATTTGTTCTAAGATTGAGACAGGTAACTCCAAACCTATTTATTGTCTATTTGTTAAGATGTATTCTATATTGCTATATCACAATTTATATTTTATTTTTCAGATGATTCAAGACCTTCAAGTTCCACCAACATCATGCAAGAATAATTATTTTTCAATGTAAGTAAAATATTTGAAGTTACACTATGCTTTATCCAAACAATCTTAAAACGATACTAACTTTCAAGATGATATTTTTCTTTTGTAGGAATTAAGAATGCAACATAGGGTTAGATAATTTTAAATTTGTAAGTATTTTGTTGAAGGTTGAAACTTTGGAATTAATTCATTGAATATTCTTTACATATTTATAGGTGAATTTTTAGGCATTTTGTTAAATGATTATATATATTGTGAATGTAGATAATTTAATTAGATGTGGTAACTTTATAATTGATTCATTGCATATTCTTTACATATTTATAGGTGATAATATGAATGCAATAGAGAGTTTGATATCTTTGATCTTAGGTAGTAATTGTTTTATCATTTTAGATCATACAAATTAAATTTTTTAAAATTTTTTTGGACCAACCCGAACCCAACCCGAAAATAGAGGGTTGGGTTGGGTTTGGAAATTTTTTGGGTTGGGTTAGGTTACTAATCCAACCAACCCGAACTTTTGGGTTTGGTAAAAAAAATCCTCCAACCCACCCCAACCTGGACCATGTACACCCTAACTTCTATAAGTATTTCTTCTTAAAGTTTCGTGTGGTGACTTACTTGGATGATGCATGCCCTTACGCAGCGTTTCCACACAATTGGCGTATCGAAAGGTAGTGATTTTTCCTCAATTAGGTCATATTTCATATAAAATAGGGTTAGGATTGGAATCGGGAGGAAAATAGGAAAAACAGAAGTCGAATGGGACGAAAACGGGCTTGCACGCGCCAACAACGCGCCGGGATAGAATCACTCGTAGGTTCCACACGCGAGTGTCACGCGCCCAAGATTTTCTGCAGCTGCGGGTCGTCGGTTCGGTTCGAGTGGACTGCGGGTCGTGGCAATTCGTTTCGCCGCGTGGGTACTGGGTCAGCCGAGGGACGCAGGTTGGGTTGCGTGGCCGGGGACGCGTGTGGCTGGAAGGCTGGAGCCGCGTCTTCCCAGGCAACATTCAACACGTGTCCGGTGGTCGTTGGTGCACGTGGTCCACTTACCAGTTGACACGTGGCACGCCGTTGGCTTCTATCTCCTCCTAGCAGAAAAATAAGGTTTTCGATTAGTTTCCGACGTTCTTCTCATTTTTCTATCTCTCAATTTTAATACAAAACGTAATGACTTTTTCAACGAAGTTTGATCATACTTCAACCTACATGCTAATATTTTTTTCTTGATTTTTACTTAATCATACAACGAGTTATGAGCGTCGGAAAGAAGTCCGATAACATCCTTACCGTTCTTGGAAAGGTTCTCAAATCTCGACGTTTCGTCCGATTTCCTCACAAAATCAGAGGAGGATCTTCCCTAGATGAAGATATTAAACTTTAACACTCTATTCCCAAACGAAGATCAAAGATCTGAAGAGTAACGTTCGAGATCTTACCTTGCGGATTTCTCTTGGATCTTGACGAAAAGGAGGAACCTTGACAAAACGAGTCTTTCTTCTCTTCAAGAAGAAACTCTAGAGTGTAAGTCTCAGTAGAGGATGAATTTCATTGGTGATTCTCCGACGAGGACTCCGACAATTCACTTTTCTCTCTCAATTTTTCTCTCCACCTTCTTTCTCAAGCTTTTCTCTTTTGCAGGTACACTCTGGAGAATCCTCAAGACCCCTATAATGGGCTGAGGGGTAAAATGCCCATTTTGCCCCTTTGACTTTGACCGATTATTTATTTATTATTATTTTTTATTAGCGTTACAAACTCTCCCCTCCTAAGAAACTTTCGTCCCCGAAAGTTGGTATCTCTTGGAAGAGTTCGGGATAGGCTCTCCTTACATCATCTTCTTGTTCCCAGGTTGCCTCCTCGTTTCGATGGTTACCCCATGCGACTTTCACCAAGGGGATAACTTTGTTGCACAGTCGCTTAGTGTCTCTTGCCAGGATTCTACTGGGTCTTTCCTCGTAGGACAGATCTTCCCGAAGAGGAAGGGTTTCATGTTCAATAACATGAGTAGGGTATGGGGTGTACCTTCGCAGCATAGATACGTGGAACACGTTGTGAACGACGGCAAGGTTTGATGGTAGAGCTATCCTATAAGTCACAGCCCCAACTCTATCTAAAATCTCGAAAGGGCCTATAAACCTTGGGCTTAACTTTCCCTTCTTTCCAAACCACATCGCCCCCTCATAGGGGTTACCTTCAAGAACACATGGTCACCCACCTCGAACTCGAGGTCCCTTCTACGCAAATCTGCATAGCTCTTCTGTCGGCTCTATGCAGTGAGGATTCTTTGCTTAATTTTCTGCACTGCTACGTTGGTGACCTGAACCAACTCTGGTCCCAGTAGTTGCTGCGTGCCTACTTCTTCCTAAAATACCGGTGTTCGACACCTACGCCCATATAGTGCCTCAAAAGGGGTCATTTAGATGGTTGCTTGATAACTATTATTGTAAGCAACTCTATTAGAGGTAGATGTTCGTCCCAACACCCAGCGAAATCCAGGACACAGGTTCGCAACATATCTTCTAAGATTTGGTTCAGTCTTTCGGTCTGTCTGTCCGTCTGAGGTTGAAGTGTTGTACTAAACCTTAGTTGAGTTCCCAATGCTTTTTGAAGGCTTTTCCAAAACTAAGAGGTGAACCTAGTGTCTCGATTAGGTACTATGGACACCGGTATGCCATGCAGGCATACTATCTCTTTGATATACAGCTGAGCCCACCGATCCACACGATAAGCGGTTTTGCCTAGGATGAAGCGAGTCATTTTGGCAAGTCTATCAACAACTACCCAGATTACGTTGAAGCTCTGCTTGGTCTTGGGCAAGCTCGAGATAAAATCCATAAAAACTGCTTCCCATTTCCACTGAGGGACCTTTAAGGGTTGTAGCAGTCCTGCTGGGCGCTGTCTCGGGGCCTTCACCTGCTGACAGGTCAATCATCGACTTACAAGATCTGCTATATCCTTCTTCATCCGTGGCCACCAATAACATCCCTTAAGATCCTGATATATCTTTGTACTTCTAGGGTGGAACGTGTAAGAAGTATCGTGAACTTCCGTCATAATATCCTTGAACATTTTCTTGTCACGGGGAACACACAAGCAGTTTTTCCACAGCAGGCCCCCGTCTGAAGAGATAGAGTACCCTTCTGATCTTTCTATCTCTGTCTGATTTCACACTTTCCCATGGTGTTCATCAGACCTCTGAGCGTAAATAATTCGTTTTCGCAAGGTGGGTTGCATGGTCATCTGTGTTATCTGAGCAGTACCATCTTTAATTACAACATCGATTCCAGCCCTTTTCATCTCATCCTGTATTCTTTCCTGCTTGGTGATCATTGCGGAAGTATGAACATTCTTTCTGCTCAATACGTCCGCCACGACAGTGGCCTTGCCTGGATGGTACAGGATCTCGATGTCATAATTCTTTACTAGTTCCAACCATCTCCTCTGTGTAAATAGGTACTTGAGACTCTTGTGATCAGTGAATACTTAGATTTTCTCTCCATACAGATAATGTTACCATATTTTCAGTGCAAACGCCACTACTGCTAACTCGAGATCATGAGTGGGATAATTTCGTTCATAATTCTTCAGTTGTCTAGAAGTGTAAGCTATCACCTTCCCTTTCTGCATGAGCACGCACCCCAGACCTTTTCCTGATGCGTCGCTGTACACCACTAGATTCCCATATCCATCTGGAACTGTGAGGACAGGTGCTGTCACCAACCTCTCCTTGAGTTCCTGGAAGCTCTGTTCACAAGCTGATGTCCACACAAAGGGCTTGTCGTTCTTGGTTAACTAAGTTAGCGCCAAAGATATTTTGGAGAAATCCTGGACAAATCTTCTGTAATATCCAGCTAGTCCTAGAAAACTTAGTACTTTAGTGAATGTGGTCGGTCTTGACCACTTCATCACTGCCTCTATCTTAGTTGGATCCACTGTGATTTCTCTGCTTGACACCACATAACCCAAACACGCTACCTAAGACAGCCAAAACTCACACTTGAAAAACTTGGCGTACAGTTGCTGCGGTCTTAGTACGGTCAAAACTTTCCTCAAATGCTCTTCATGCTCTGCTTCTGACTTAGAGTACACCAGAATGTCATCAATAAATACTATAACAAAAGTGTCTAACAATTCCTTAAACACCCTGTTCATTAGCTCCATGAAGACGGCTGGTGCATTGGTAAGTCCAAATGACATGACGAGAAATTCATAATGTCCATAGCGACTTCTGAAAGTTGTTTTGGGTATATCTTCTTCTCTTATTCTCAATTGAGGATATCCTGACCTCAAATCAATTTTGGAGAATACCGTAGCTCCCTGCAATTGATCAAACAAGTCGTCGATTCTCGGGAGGGGGTACTTATTCTTTATGGTGACCTTGTTCAGTTCTCTATAGTTTATACACAGACGCAGGGATCCATCCTTCTTCTTGACAAACATAACAGGGGTTCCCCAGCGATACACTAGGTCATATGTGTTGTAAATTGTCATAAGTTTTTTTTATTTGATTTAGTAATTAAAGTCATTCAAAATATAACCATTTTGATTAAATAAGAATATTAATTTGGTGGTTTAATTTATAACCATTTTAATTAATATCTTACTTATTTTGGTTATAAATCCACATTTAATATGCAACGTTTTCTTTAATATTCTACATGAATTATCCCTTTATAAAGGGGGTGTCTAGGAGGTTGAGGATATCAGAATTTGATATCGGAATTTGAGAGAGTTTTGTTAGGAGTCTGGTCTTCTGTGGTTGATATAGTTCTGGTTTAGGGAGTCCTATTCTTTAGGACTGATTAGTCCTATTCTTTGGGACTTTAAGTTTCTTTCTGCTGATATTTTTAGGTTCAACCATGATAGTAAAGGCTATATAATGTCATGCTTAAAATTAATAAAAGAAGCACTTGAGATCAAAAAAATATCTTAGTGTTTTTTGTGTAATTCCGTTCATTGGTGTTGTGAGTACATTTGTTCCGCTTTCGGCGCACAATAGTATGAAACCCTTATCTAATAGCTCGTGTAACTGTTCCTTCAATTCCTAAGTTCTACAGGTGCCATTCTGTAGGGTGCCTTGGAGATCGGTACAGTTCCTAGTTCTAAGTCGATCCCAAAGTCAACTTCCCTAACTGGGGACAAACTTGTCAAATCCTTAAGGAAAACATCAATGAATTCCCTGACAATGTGTACTGACGAGATTGTCTGTTTATTTCTGCTGTCTAGGGTCACACGGGCTAAAAATGCGCTGCACCACTGCGAATCATCTTTCTAGCCTTTAATGCAGTTACGACACTTGGGGTTCTTTTGGAAGTAGCTCCCTTATATGTAAAACTATTCCCTGACGGGAGTCTGAGAGTAACTATTCGAGTTTTCCAATCTATTAGAGTGTGATTCTCGCCTAGCCAATTCATACCCAAAATGACATTGAAATCTTGCATGCTTAATACTATTAAAGCAGCTTCTATGACACATCCCAACACTGTCACACTACCTCCCTTAACTCTATGAGTAGCCATTAATAACTCGTGAGCAAGGATGGACATTGATAGAATGGTCTCTAAAGGTTCTTTTTCTAGGTGCGCCAAGTCAACGAATTCCTCAGACACAAACGAGTATGTAGAACTCGAATCAAATAGTACAAAAGCCAAATGACCAAAAACGGGTAGTGTATCTGTAACAATTGCGTCAGGCGCGTCGGCTTGCCTGCCTGTGGTTGCATGGGCTACAGCTCGCCCTTGCTGCTGTTGGGCACCCCAGCCCCTTTGATTTTATCAGCCTCTTTGACCACAATTATAGCATACATCAGTTCCCAGACGACATTCTCCCAAGTGAGGACGCTAACACTTAGGACATTGATTTCTGTTCTGTACTGGGGCTCTTCCGTGATTGGCAGTGCCACCTCGGGGTGGTCTGCCAGTCTTGGGATAGTTCCAGTTTATCTATTTCTCCTGAACTACGTTATGGGATTTTTGGGCTGACCCTGACTGTAATTTGTCAGTATGAGGCGCATCAATGAGGGTCGCCATCTCAAGGACTGCTGTATAATTTGTGGATGCCTGAGATGCCACATAGCCTCTAATGTTCTCCCTTAGACCGACGATAAAACGTTTAGCCTTAAGCTCTTCAGTACTGACATTTATAGGAGTGAATCTTGTCAATCTATTGAATTCCAAATCATAATCCTTCACAGATTGGTCACCCTGCTTGAGTTCATGGAATGCTACCAGAGCTTCATTCACCCTTCCACCAGAAATGAGCCTCTCCTTTCAACATATACGTTCCGCAATGAACCTAATATTCCAGCGGACAGTTCATGTAAAAGAAGGCTGTTTCCATAGCCTCGTGCCAATTTTCTACTGCAATGGGATCTATTGTGCCATCTTCAAAGGAAGGCGGGTTTTGCCTCTGGAAGTCTTTCAGATAACGAGATTCCACAGTCATAGTCCCAGAGTCTCTGGTCCCTAGCAATGTTGTATGTTACATTGCTGCCTGTTGTATTGCTGTCTGTTTCAATGTTGTCTGTTGCATTGTTGCCTGATTAGTGACCAGTGTCAGCATCAGAGTCTAGTTTTCCATAGAGGTTAACATGAATGCGTGTAGTATATCTATAGTGAGGTTAGTTGTTAGCTGACTAGGTGGAACCTCTACATTATTGGTGGGCACTGGTGGGACCGCCTTAGGAGGAGGAGCGTAGAGTCTGCATCGGGTAAGTCTTGAGTCATTGCTCTCTTTTGACTCATTCCTGACCTTGGTGCCCGTGGTATAGGACACTCGAACCATTGGGGCATTTCATCAACCTCCTCTTGAGGTTCAGGTACAGATTGTTCTGCCTCAGGTGACGGGACATCAGTGTCCTAAGCGACTCTACTTCTTCCCCTTCTAGGTCTAGGCCTGAGATAGGTTCTACATCTCTTTGGTGTCATTTAGCTACCACATTAGAAAATTTGCGGTTACAATTCATTCAAGGCTCAACCTTTAGGAAATGTGCAGTACAACACAAGAAAACAGTCATAAAAAAATCTCTACTTAACAACTTAGCTCTTAATTTCGCAATTCAAATTCGTGAGACTGTCTAGTAACGAGCGGTACGTGATTAATGGGTGCGTCAAAGAGGATACGACTCTCTAACCTTAAGTGTCATAGGACCTATGTCTTAGTGCTCTAATACCAAATTTGTCACAACCCCAAAAGAAATTTAACCTCGAGTCGTGACTAACAATGACTATGACGTGTAGTGTGCAAGCAAGAGTTTCAAATGGAAATATTATTTCAAAAATGAATCGTTTATTTCATAAGGAAAACGTTTTGATACAAAGAAGGTTTATGTGACTAGTTATAGACAAGGAAAGAAAACATGAAAGACAAAGTGTACTAATAAGTAAAACTAGACTAACGCCCCGGGACACGCTTCCTCTGTGACAATCCACACCGTTCAACGCACCCACTCTTGACCCGACGCCTCACGTACCTGAAAAAGAAAGGTATAGCAAGAGTGAGTATAAAATTATACTCAGTAAGCCACCTACTTGTAGGCTCTTATCGCACCCTAAACTTAACAAACAACCACAGGCCTTCCTTTGGCTCTAGAACATCTGGTTCTGGCCTTATCTCATTAGGGCTTCCCCCTTGGGACTTGTTCCTCGGGGCTTCTTTCGTTCTTAGTCTTTTCATTTCTACCCGTAGAGTTCCTCTTATGCTAACCTGTGTTGGACTGGTGCCCTACGAGATGCTACCTCGACATGGCTATGAGATTACCTGGGTCTTACCTAGGAAGTGAGCTGCAATCCCCTAGTCCCATGGTAATCCCCCTGTATTTGGGAGGGCTACCTCTCCTATCCCATCCAGCTAAATGGTTAGTTACGACGTGGGTATTCTGTTCCCCATGCTAAAACGGCTATCGAGTCCTGATCAGGAACCCGCTGGTCCCCCATGAAGCTATAACACCATCCACACACAAGTAGCCTAAGGGTACTTCAGAGGTGGTTCGTATGTCGTGGTAGTTTCTTAAGCTCATAGGGAAAGGTTGGGTCTACACTTACTGACTTGTCAGTTTAACCACATATCCCTAGACTTTATCAATCCTGTGGGTCATGAAAATTCAAATGAGTGTACACAACTACCATCCATCATCATTATACAAAATTCATGCAAAGCAAACTTACATGCTCAACGGGGCGATAACATCCATCAACTCCCAGAGCGTAGAATTCACAAGTTCCCATCCTTCTTTCAGCATGAATTATATATATATATATAGCGGAAGCTTAAAGTATACTAACAATACTCAGATAATTCTCATAATATTTCACACAATACATCTTACTTTTAACAATCAAATACCTACATTCAATCACGGAAAGCTACGACCTAAGATAATTAAACTAGCATGCATGCATTCCAAGGGACTCCTACAAGTATTTCTTCCTAAAGTTTCGTGTGGTGACTTACTTGGATGATGCATGCCCTTACGCAGTGTTTCCACACAATTGACATATTGAAAAGTAGTGATTTTTCCTCAATTAGGTCCTATTTCATATAAAATAGGGTTAGGATTGGAATCGGGAGGAAAATAGGGAAAACAGAAGTCGAACAGGATGAAAACGGGCTTACATGCGCTTCCACGCGTCGAACGGAATCACTCGTAGGTTCCATGCGCGAGTGTCACGCGCCCAAGATTTTCTGCATCTACGGGTCGTCGGTTCGATTCGGGTGGACCGCAGGTCTTGGTGGTTTGTTTCGCCGCACGGGTACCAGGTCAGCAAAGGGACGCGGGTCGGGTTGCGTGGCCGGGGATGCGTGTCAGTGGAAGGCTGGAGCCGCATCTTCCCAGGTGGCGTTCGACGCATCTCTGATGGTCGTTGGCGCACGCGGTCCTCTTGTTGGTTGACACATGGCGCGCCGTCAACTTCTCTCTCCTCTTAGCAGAAAAACAAGGTTTCCAATTAGTTTTTCGATATTCTTCTCATTTTTCTATCTCTCGATTCTATATCCAAAATGTAACGACTTATTCAACAAAGTTTTAGATCATACTTCAACCTACGTGCCAATATTTCTTTCTTGATTTTTACTTAATCATATGACGAGTTAATGAGCGTCGGAAAGAAGTCCGACAACATCCTTACCGTTCTTGGAAAGGTTCTCAAATCTCGATGTTTCGTTCGATTTCCTCACAAAATCAATGGCGGATCTTCCCTAGATGAAGATAGTAAACTTTGACACTCTATTCCCAAACGAAGATCTCAAATCTGAAGAGTAACGTTCGAGATCTTACCTTGCGGATTTCTCTCGGATTTCTCTCGGATCTTGACGAAAATGAGGAACCTCGACAAAACGAGTCTTTCTTCTCTCCAAGAAGAAACTCTAGAGTGTTAAGTGTCAGTAGAGGATGAATTTCGTTGGTGATTCTCCGATGAGGACTCCGTCGATTCACTTTTCTCTCTCAAATTTTCTCTAACATTCTTTCTCACACTTTTCTCTTCTGCAGATAGTTTGTGGAGAATTCTCAAGACCCCTGTAATCGGCTGAGGGGTAAAATGCTTATTTTGCCCCTTTGACTTTAACCGACTTTTTTTTTAGCGTTACACTTAACATGCCAAAGCGAATAATATTTGTTAGCGGTAGACTTAGATTGTTATAATTACAGATTTAAGGATATCTAAACTATAAAAGTTATTACAATGACACCATTGAATTTTTTAAATTGTTCATCTAGTGGCTCCAAACTTATGAAATTGTTGCAATTAAATTTTATAAACATGATAAAAATGAAAGAATTATCGGCTCAAATTAAGCCTTGAGATTACTATAATCAAATTCAATTTTTTTTACATATATTTTTATTTATTTTGGTCAAAATATATAAAATTGCAACAATTTTATACTTTAAGGTTTTGATCACAATGATTCGAAGAGAGTTTCTAAGAGTACATTTTATATAGTTAAAGTAAACTAAAAGTACCAAAAAATGCTAGATTTTGCAAAGCTAGAGATTCTTCTCAACGTTCACAAAAAAAACTAACTTAACAAATTGATTCCAACCAAGAGATGGTTAGAAGATGATTGACTCTTAAATCGAACTTTGAATCTATGATGATCACTCTTAGATTCCAAGACGACTCACTCTAAAATTAGCTTGATCATGACTAATCCAATGAATCGATTTTAACATCTAACTTAAAGCAAAGTTTGAAAGAAACATAACACCGAAAAGGCTTTCAACTATAAAGTTTTTGTATTCCACCATCATTTCAAAATTGAATATTACATGCTTTTAAACACGTAAAAAAAAATCTAGACATAATGTAGTTCAACAACCAACTACAAACTACTAATAAATATTATTGAATACAAATTAGAAAAAATAAGTCCTAAAATAAAAAATCTTCAAATCACTTTCTAATGTCAAATGATATTTTGTTGCCACTCAATTCTTTTCTTTATTTAATATTTGAATTTGTCAGTGTAACTTGTCCTTTGAGTCCATGCAAAATGACTTCTCCCGTCCCTGTCAATTCTTGTTCCCGCCCAATCTTTCAATACGTCCGCCTTTAAAGAGAGACTTTTTATGTTCCACTTCCAAGTAATTTCCGTGGATTTTACTCGATTTAATGTCTTGTTTTTTTTAAATTTAAAAATTATATTATCAAATTTTGTATTATAATTTAGATATAAATTAATTTTATATTTTATTTATTAGGTAGGTAAAATGATTTTATCAAAAATAATAATTTACAACCATATATTTCAATTTCTATATATTAAAAAAAAATATAAATTGTGAATTTACAGAAATGGACATTTTGCACAATTTACAGAAGTCAATTTCTTAGCGGCCTTGGAATGAACGATTCGAATGGGAATCAAATTTGATTCCACGCAAGGTAGAAGACGAAGGCCATTTTGCAGAGAGAAGAAGTGGCTGGAAGCCCTACCCCACAGCCGACATGAGCCTTCCGCCATTACAATTCGTACAGGCCACCTTCTTCGATACATAGCTATCAATCCATTTTCGTTTTGCCATATCCACACCCAATTTAAGTTTCAAACGCCTTCTGTTAATGGGAAACGCCCATGGCCACCGCAAGCATTTCAACCATGGTGTAAATTCCTCTCCATCCACTAACGCTCATTCTCCCTCCAATAAATACGCGCCATCTGGATCAGCTCCTCCAATTTCGACCTCCACGGCTGAGATGGAGTCCTTGCCCTATGCCCTCGTTGATTCGAGACTTCGTGCCCTTGCCGGTCAGGCCGAGGGATTTGGCCGCGCTGCCATTGGTGGTCTCCATGGTTCTGTTTATTGCGTTACTAATTTGGAAGGTGATGTTTTATTTATCATGTTTTTTATTGAATTCGGCTGCTCTGTTGTGTAGTGTTTTGATTCAGGAATTGAGATGTTTTGTTCTTAATTTGAGTTAGAATGGTCATGATTTGTTTGCTTGTTCTTGATGTGGAGAAGTTTGGAAACTGATGGAAACAATAGTTTTGTTAATCAACCCCTTCGGATGCATTTACTTTGATTGATTGTATGATTGATTATATGATTGAGCTGTAGTAAACTTAGGTTTTCGCCTTCTCCCTTGGGCTTTTTATCTTCTTATATGGTTTTTAGGAAAAGCTTCAAGCTCAAGTGCCACAAGAGGGGTCAACTATTAGAATACGAGTAAAGCGCCTTAGTGTATCTCGATATAGGAAGGGGTATTTTCATCAAATCCCATAGAAGTTTTTTTGTTTAGGGGTGTGTAAGTTTGGAACCGTGTACAAACAAGAGGGTAGTCGGGGCTTGCTTCTTCGAGTGGAGCTTGTTGCTTTTCATTTTGATAGGAATTACTTTGTTTGTTTTTGTTTCTGTTTCTCTGAGATCCCATATCGATTGGAGAGGAACGAGAGCCAGCGAGGGCACTAGACCTCAAGGGGGGTGGATTGTGAGATCCCACGTCGATTGGGGAGGGGAATGAGTGCTAGCGAGGACGCTGGGCCCCGAAGGAGGTTAGAATGTGAAATCTCACATCGGTTGGAGAGAGAACGAAGCATTATTTATAAGGATGTGGAAACTTCTCCCTAGTAGACGGGGTTCAAAACCTTGAGAGGAAGCCCGGAATGGAAAACTCAAAGAGGACAATATCTGCTGGTGGTGGGCTTGGGCTGTTACAGTTTCTGTTTCCTTTCCCTTTTTTGTATGTTTTGTTCGGTGGGTCGTATTAAAGGAATTTAACAATGCTTCTTTGCTCCCTATTCAATACTTCTAGTAGTTCTGCCTTTGATTTCATTGAGGAGTCTTTAAACCTGTATTTTCTGTTTGTTGTAGATGATGGTCCGGGATCACTTAGGTTCGGATGTCGTATGAAAGAGCCTCTTTGGATTATCTTCGAAGTTTCGGGCACAATTCACTTGTCTTCGTATTTGAATGTGTCATCTTTTAAGACTGTAGACGGTCGTGGTCAAAGGATAAAGCTTACAGGAAAGGGATTGAGGCTGAAGGAATGTGAGCATGTGATTATTTGCAATTTGGAGTTTGAAGGTGGTAGAGGTCATGATATTGATGGAATTCAAATTAAACCGAATTCCCGCCACATATGGATAGACCGATGCAGCCTCCAAGACTACGACGACGGGTTGATTGATATCACCCGGGGAAGTACAGATATCACTATTTCTAGGTGAGACGAAGCTTCATCTAAGATCTTTCTTAATGCCCAAACAATCTGATATTGTGCTTGATTTCTTTGTCCATCATGTATTTGTAGGTGTCGTTTCTCACGGCATGACAAAACAATGCTCATTGGAGCCGATCCCTCTCACGTTGGCGACCGATGTATCCGTGTAACTATCCACCACTGTTTTTTCGATGGTACACGTCAGCGACATCCACGTGTTCGATATGGTAAAGTACATCTTTACAATAATTACACCAGAAACTGGGGGATCTATGCTGTCTGTGCTAGCGTAGAATCACAGGTCTTTACACATCTCATCTTTTCCAAATACATTTTAGTTCAAACTACTCCAAAGATTAACCTTCTTTTCCATTTGAATCAGATACACTCTCAGTGCAACATATACGAAGCGGGTCAGAAAAAGGTGGCGTTCAAATATCTAACTGAGAAGGTAAATCTATTTCTTTTCGTGTTGCTAGTCAAATAGACACGTGATAAGATTAGATTAGGGAACTTGAGAGGTTACATTTTCGTGTTGCTAGTCAAATCGACACGTGATAAGATTAGATTAGGGAACGTAAATCTATCTCTCAATTTGTGGGATCTTACATTTTTATGCTTCTAAGCACTTAGCTTCTAAAGTGATGTTCCTTCTTATCCATGATGAATTTTGCCCATGTGTTCGTCTACGACTATCCGTGCATTAATTTTACACGAGCCTAGTCGTTAGAATATTCTATGTCCCATGATAATAATAGTTATTTCATCCATCGTCTATGTTACATTCGATCGTCTTACATGCAAAACTGTACTATGTGGATCAAGATTATGGTCGGGTTGGCCTTAACCAGTTGAGCATGCTCGGGATGGCGTTTCTTTATACATTGTAGTAATATGTTAAGCAAAATACCTATTGGGTCATTGGCCTGCCTCCCAAACGACAATATCTGACCCGGCTCCCCTAACCTTCGTTCTACGATTATCGTCTTTCTGTCTGTCCGTGCTCGTTGTCTCTGTTTGTGTGTGCATCTTATTACCTGAATATTCCTTTACAAAACACACTCAAAGCCAAAATGCCAATAATTTATGTCGAACGAAACTGTAACCGTCCAAGCCCAGCACTAACAGATATTGTCCCCTTTGGCTCATTACGTATCACCATCAGCCTCATAGTTTTAAAACGGATCTACTAGGGAGGGGTTTCCACACATTTATAAGGAATGTTTCGTTCTCCTCTTAAACCAACGTGGAATCTTACAGAAACAACCTTTACGAGTTGAAAGAAACCAAGGAAACGAACTGTACTGACCTGGAATCATGGTTTATATGTCTGATATGTGTGTTCAGGCAACAGACAAGGAAGAACCTTCAAGTGGGTGCATATGGTCTGAGGGAGATTTATTTGTAAGTGGCACTCAAAGTGGGCTGCTGGCTGCCACCGCCGGACAAAGCATGTTTCATCCTTCAGATCATTACTCTGCTTGGACTGTGGAACCTCCCACCGATGCTCTGAAACAGATACTCCAACATTGTACTGGTTGCCAAAACATCCCTAGGCCCTGTGATCTGCCACTGGTACCTTAGTACATTATTGAAATCCTCTAAATTTAGTTATAGGTCCCTGAACTTGTATGGATTTTCTTTTTTTTATTCCAGTCCTTTGATGTTTTCAGATTTCTATTTAGTCCTTTTTTTTAGTTCCCGTGTAAATCCGTTGTGTTTAATGTTATTATTTATACTCGTTGTATCCGTGTTGTCGCACTTTATGTTGGTGCTAAACGCAAAAATTGATTAAAAAAAAAAAAAAAAAAAATCTAGGGTTTCTCTATGAACTCGAGATCTTTAACATTTTTATTGATATTGATATTTCTATCTAAATATGTCTAATCGTGATGCTGTGCTCTTTTCACTATCACTTAATGTCGGTGAGATAATAGTTGATAAAATAAATGCTACAGAACAAGCTTTTAAACTAATAGTCGAGCATCTATATCTCTCCTCATGATCAAGTTGTTCAAATCTAGCTTAAATTTATCTTCATTTTATGCTAGACACTCGACTAGTGCTTAGTTTAAAAGTTTAAAAGCTCGACGCATCGAATTGTGGTTTAAAAGCTTGTTCATGGGAAGCGTCGAATTATGACTAGTTTAAAAGCTCGACTATAATGTTCATGATAGAAAACCACAATTTGACACACTCCCTTATGCTAGACGCTTCACCTATCTCACCTCAAAGAGAATAGATCTTCACCTATCTCACCTCAAAGAAAATAGATTGAGTAGCCCTAACCCTAATCCTAATCTAACTAAGAGAGTTTGAACTGCTCTGTAGTCTCGTAGGGCGCAAATGAGCATTAGTGTGATTTGGCTAGCTCAATTGCTCGGCGAACAAATTACCTCCTTGCTATCTCAAAAAAGAAAGCAGATCCGTGCAAATTGCATCTTTGATGCCCTAAGAGGATGTTCGTTTTTTTTTTTTTTTTGTCCCTATGACCTCATGACAAATCCTTTGTATAAGTGTAAACAACATTTTGGCATCTCAAAATGAAAAAGTAGTCAATTCAAGCATTAGTGAGTAATATTAGTTGTGGATGGTTCAATGTTCATCATGCAAAGTTGAGAAAAAGAATGAAAAAGGTTGAAATAATGAGTATGGTATGGCTATCAGCTATCAGCCATCAGCCATCAGCCATCAGCCGTCTGGATTATGTTTGTTGGGCAATGAATTTGGTTCAGTCTGTGGAAAAAAAAGGTACGATAAGTAATTATCTACATCCTCAGGGGTCAATCTAGCAATTACCTCCTGCCCCACCGGAAATCTGTGCGCATGGTAGAATTCTCGGTACATCGGCAACCAGCTTTTCGCTATCGCCAAGATTTCGAATCGAAGCTTCGGGTCCGGTATGATGCTTGATCTCTGTTTCTGGTATGCTTCTTTGAAACTGGAACTGAAATTATCGTAAACCTCCGCCACTTCCGCCGTTGTAAGAGCGGCCATCGGATTTTCCGGCAGCGTCGAGATTACCTTTCCCCATGCCAAGCGCTCGTAGTTGTCGATGTACTGTTTTCCTTTCGCTTTGTGCTTCGCGATCCATTCGTCTCCGAGAAGATGATGGAGCTTGGAGCTTTGGACTTGCCAAACGATGAAACGGATATTGTTGGCTAAGAAGAGGTATGAGAGCGAAATGTCGTCGCACTGTCTTGCTTTGCTGTCGAGCTTACAGAGGAGGATGAAGATTATCCGCTCCATGTATGAAGAGACTGATGAAACTGGAGAACCGTCGGAATCTGGAGTATTGGAACAAGAATCGGCTGGAAGAGACGATTTCCACGGCGGCGGCCACCAAGAGAAAATTATGTTGAGAATCTCTCGGTACTCGGCTAGGAGAGAGAGGCAGTCCATCGATTGGAGAGCTAAGGTGTGTATTCCTCCGTCGACAGAAAGCGAATTCGAGGAGTCATTTTGTACGAACGATTCGTAATCTGAGAGCATTGTGGAAATTGATCCAGTAAGAACGCTGAGCGAGGCGATGGCTTGTGATCGAATTACTTCAGTAGATTCAAACGAAAAGATCGATTCGATCCTCTGCCAGTTCTCGATTATAGCAGTGAACATATCGAGTAAGTAGAACACATTCTTTTGCGATTTCTTGCTCTTCAAGATGACTTCTGGAAATGCAAATAGAAGCATAGCACCATCTTTGCACGCTTTAGTGAAACAAGATTCGCTAACGGATTCGGAAATTGCGAATACGAAATCGCACAATTCTCGTTCCGCATTGAAAATCGTTGTAATAGCTGCATTCACAGATTCTAACCACTTCTTGATTCTGAAATCGACTGCCTCCGAATCCATTTTACGGATTTGCGACGAAATTTTAACAATACCTAGACGATATATCGCTTCATCCACAACAGATTTGCGAACATTTCCGTATATTTCAGCACATTCTTTAGTATAACCAGACGAGATCATACACTCAGCTATAGCTCTCAGATCCGCCACAAGAACTCGATCTAAACTCGATTCTACATCCAACGGTTCGCGTTTCACGGAAAGAATCCGATAAAATTCAACCTGAAGTCGCTTCATAGCAATCTGCATCAAACTTTGAGAATATTCAAGTTTCTCAGAGGCCAAAAGATACATAACCTTCTGAAGTTCGTTCACACATCGAATGAATCGCAAACCTTCCTCCTTGCTTTGGTTAAACATCGACGTCACTTCAGCATAAGCTAACGACTCGATGCTCCATTTCGTGATAATTTCTGCAGCGGACTGCAAACTTCGATCAATCATCGATTCCGAAAATCTTTGACAATGAATCACGGAGGCGGCTTCGGATGAAGACAAAGAATTAGAGCAAATAGGAGATACCAAAGGCGAGAGCATCTTGGAACAAAGCCCGAAAAGCTTCTTTCCATGTCTCGTCATTCGAGATTTCTGAACCTCTTCGCCTCTGTTTGGGCACCGGGATTTGTCCGCCACTAAAGGGTACATAAATGTGTCTATATATATATATATTATTTATAATGATTTATTACATTTTCGTAATTATATTTTAAATGTTAGTGTTTTTATTTTTTAATTAGTCATTTAAAATCAAATTTTAACGTAATTATTAAATAATAATAATAATAGTTTTACACTAAATATTTATGAATTAAAAAAAAAAAAAGTCAAGATACATAAAAATAAAAAGATTATAAATATATTAAATAATTAAAGGCTACAAAGGAAAGTAGGAGCGCAGACTTTGTCATATTATATAAAACGACGTCGTTTAGACAGTAAAGTAATGAGCTTGAATTGTTCGGTTTAAAAGTCATGAGAGTCACAGACTAAGTCAATTAAGATTGATTTTTATATTTATTTTATTTTATTATTTAAAAAAAAAGGTCAAATGAGACGACAAATTTGGAGAGTAAGCGTATATATTTTTTAATAAATAAATATTTTGTCATAATAAAGAAAAAGTGGGAAGGAAAGTCAAGTCAAGAGAAAAATAAATGATTTAATTAATTCCAATAACAATTATTTTATTATAAGGTCGAATTATTCAAATAATGTGTCCCCATCCACTTAATATCTATACTTTTTATTTATAGCATAAAAATAAGTCAAAAAAGTCTTTATAAATAATATAATATATATTACATTACTAGTTTCTAACCGATGCACGTGAAATCCTTCCTTTTTTTTATTATTTTTAAAATACAAATTCATTTTTTTATTAAAAAATTAATTTTAAAATACAAAAAAGTGAGTTTTTAATTTTTTTTCCATTTATATCTAATAATTTGATGATTTTTTTTAAAGAATATTTAATATATTTCTCTTAATATTGTATTTAAAATTCAACGCTTAATATATTTAAATTTTTTTAAAGTTTACCCGAATTTTAAAATTTTTATGAATTAGTCAATTTAATCAAGTCTATTCGAATTTAGAATTGTGGGTCGTGCAATCGAATCAATTGTGGGCCCCGCTCCAAAATTCTTCCTTATATTTTGTGTTTGAATTTGTTTACGAAGAACAAAAATATTATTAGTCTATTATTTTTGTAATATATATTTGTCGAGATGGAAAACATATTTGTAGCACAATAAAATTATGGTCTCGTGATTTTTCCTTTATTCATTTGAAATGATAACGAACAATGTTTGTCGTAAAAAACTACTAATTTCACATTTTAATATTTGTAATGAGATTACTTATAGTATGAGTATGAAAATAATTGACGTGCATGTAATGAATGAAATCACAACAAACTTTTTTTCCAAAATGGTTATAAAACGAGCCCTAAATTAGTAGTTTTTTTTTTTTTATTATTATTATTGGTACGTTATCGTTTAATTAGTCAAAAGCTAGCCTTTGGCCTTATTGTATAGCTTACTGTTTAGTCTCACAGGTCGTTCACACAACAAGACACGTTTTAGTTAATGAAATAATATAGAATCAAAAGTCGTTAATGAGCTAAATATTTTAAAATTGACGTGACGAAACAAGTTCAAGTAAGTCAATAGACTTGAAGTTACAAGTCTTTGAAGCATTTTGTTTGGTAACTCAAAAGGACTTTAACTTGAAAACAAATGAGCTACGTGTGAACTCTAAAGATTCCATAAACCCTAAAATCACATAATTGGAAGCAAAAAATAATCCTATAGGTTTTAAATTTATTTACGTTTTTTTCAATGCTCGGGTCGATAATTAAAATATCGACTTTTAGAATAGTAATTAGTATCTTATCCATTGAGATAAATGAAGATTAGGATAAAGGTGTTATTTAGGAAGTGATAATCTAAATTTAGCACGTGTGAACTTGTTGACTTTTGTCGGTAAGTGTTCCAATAAACTTAATGCTCTAGCCTTCATGTGATACTTCAAGTAATAATGATGTTATTTATATATTTGAATATTATTTTATTATATAAACAGATAACGAGAGGTTAGAGTTTAAAAATACTTCTAAACTTTTAAAAATCTTTACGGATGAAAATTGTTAGTATTTTATTTCAAAAATATTTTTGAAAGTTTTAAAAATATTCTTAAATTTTAAAAAAATTTATTATTACTTTTCAATTTAAAAAAAGTTAAAAAATATCAGTACCATTAATACTTATTTTAAACAATACCTATGAAATTTTAAAAACTTTTATAAAAAAATGTTCAAAAAAAATTATTACCATCAATATACAGACGAAAAGTGCTTATTGACCTTTCATAGATTATATCCAAACTTTTATAAATGATAGTTTTTTAAAGTTTTATTTTTGAAACTGTGGTCGGTAAAAATATTTTTGAAACAAAATGTTAACCTTTTAAAAATATTTTAAAGATTTTTTAAAATTTAAAAATGTTATTAAAATTTTTTAAAATTGAAAGATATATATTTATTTTTAGGTAATATGTAAAGTTTTAAAGTCATTTTTATTAATTTATTATGTCTTAAAATTAAATGTGGGAGGATTTAATAACCTTGCTTTATGTTGACGAAGACGTGAAACGAAAAACTTAATTTAATGGGAGCGTTGGATACGGTCGTGATGTGATTGGGTCTAAACGCCTGTGGCGGCAGACCCACATAATGAGAGTTAGAACGACGACGTACCGTAACAATACCACCGTTGGAATTGATGGCAGGAGTCCACGTGGATTGACATGAGCCGTTGAGATCAGGACTTGTCTCTCTTTTGGGGCCCACCTTCTTCATTTATCCATTGCCCTTTTCAAAAGGCCATTTACTTTCAACATAATAAAAACCCCTTTCTAAGTGTCTTAATCTGAAATTCACAGCTTATGTATATATTAATTCTAAACAAAACTATTCCACTTATTTCGATATCAAATATTTGTTAATTGTACGTACTCTCGTGAAAAAAAAAATACTTATACAAAAATATCCGTTAATCTCATACATAGTATATACTCTCATCATTGTAAATATTACTTTAATGTTGTTACAGTCAATCATTCTTACGGTACTGTGTGATAAGTTCAATAATGGAGAAATTGAGAGTGAAGGACAAAGGTGAAGAAAAGATTCTCAGACTTCATAGTTCAATTTGAATGTGTTACATATCTTTCTTGACTCAAAAGCATAATAAAATGAAAGAAAAGAAAATAGACACAGCGTATGAGTTTACAGTGAGAATAACGAATAAGAACGAAACACTATGTTAGTATAATTTTATTCTCATCAAATGATTTTCCCGACTCAAAAGCAAAATCAAATGAGAAAGAAAAGAAAAGAGACTGAGGTTACGGTTCAGTAAATGAATCGGTTGCTTTACCAAATGAGAAAGAAGAAAAGAGAAATGCAAGATGAATGAGAAGAAAACGAACAATTCTATGGTAGTTGATATGGGTTTTTTCGGTTTTCTTGTTCTTGAGTTTATGAACACTTTTGTTAACAACGACGAGTGAGAAGTAAGGTCATCAATTCATTTTATTGAATCCTTCTTAAGAAATGAGGGATTAACTAACTAACACAACATTTCATCCACACGTTTCTTCCTCCAATGACCTTTAAAACGTAAAAACAAAAAACTCTATATCACATCCTTCACTACTTCCGCTAAAACCTCATTTATCATCATCCTTTCAATTTCCTTACCTATCACATCAATTTCATCCCCTAAATTCTCCCAATCCGACTCCTCTACTACATCAAATCTAACTATTTGGATGTCAAGAAACTTACAGAGTCTGTTTTGGAGCTCATTTTTCATCACCCACTTCGTTGCAATCTGAGTTTTTGAAGGCCTCACCCATGGGTGAAGGTCACTGAGCTCTCGGCCAATCTCCAAGATTCCTGAGTTTATGCAGTCGAACAGCAGCCTCCTCTCCGACCGTGTCGTGGAGGAAGGACAGCTCTGTTTTTTCTCAAGCTGCTCGAAAATCTTTGGATTGATAGGGCAATCGGATGATGAGCATATAGTAGCTAATAACGCACCTGGGTTGGCAACATTGAGGCCAGAATCGGTCAAGATGTCGAGTAAATAAGAGAACTCCCAGTTATCTTTCGTTTTGCACGGACCCTTCTCATCATCCGGTAGCCCAGAAGATAGTTCTGTTGCATCTTCGTCACTGGATATGAGCATGTGTCCCTCAGTGAATGGTTCGGATTCCAATTTGAGTAGCTGAAGCTGCATTCGAAGGCCTAGAATCGCGACGGGGAAATTAAGTTAGAAGGGTTTCAAAGAATTTGCAGAAAAGAAAGATTCTCGTTGAAATCAAGATTATCAGGATATGTACTGTTCTTCTCGAAGATGATAACCAGAAATGAAACTCCTATTTATATCATCATATTATAAAATTGGAAAATGAATGATTTTATTCGCTTACCCAACTGGCTCAAATTTTAATGCGATAATATATGTAGGAAAATAAAAATAACATGCAATATCCGCCGTTAAAAGTTACATACGGATAATACAGTACAGATAGAAAATACCTTGGAGGTCGGCGCTGACGTTCTCGAAACATTCAGAAGATGATGAGAGATAATCTCCAAAAGCAGGTTCCAGAACTGAAACTGGACTTGGTTGATCAGCCTCCTTCGAACTTGGAGATTCAAGCCCAGCTACAGATTTGTGTGAGGGCACTGGACTTTCTACTGATGGCCCTTCCTGAAAGATCATAAAATATTCAAAACTGGGAACGCTAGATGAAATGCTTCAAAAAAAACACCTAGCTGGAATCGGGCGTGTAAGGAATTACGACTCTTCACAATGGTATGGTATGATATTATTCATTTTGAGCCTAAACTCTCAAGGCGGAAGGGCTCGTACTAATAGAGATGTATTTCTTACTAATAAATTCATGATCATTTTCTAAATTAGCCAAATATAGGACTCAGTCCCAACAATCCATCCTCACGTGTCAGGAATCAATCAAATAGGCTCTCATAACAGACATATTATTCAAATACATTAGATAAAAGTATTCTTTTTCACCATCTTCAAAGAATAAGAGCCTGAGTTCCTACTATTTGGAAATGGAGCAACTGCCGCCTCACAACAGAATATAATATCGAAGCCATTAGCTTGTAATTTGATGTTTTATCACATAAAAGAGGAGACTGCAGGTTAGTCAGCAAGTAATAATGACATAATGTAATTAATAACAGCTACAGAAGTAAAGACAAACCTCTTGTATTATATTGTCTTGGTCGTTAACACAAGAATTTCCAACTGTTGACATGTACTCCGATGACTCCAATTCTAACACAGGTGTTTCAGGGAACATCGTTGTGTAGACATCTCCGACATTCTCAGTACTTTGAGATATTGGACTTCTATCATCGACATTGGAACAGGAGGCCCCAAACTCCGTGACAGTCATTTCATATGAACCATTGTCAAGAGAGTGGGTGTTCATGCAATACGGGTTTACTTGAGCTTGCAGTAACATGTCATCACTTTCCATGAATGAAGGCAGCAGACAATCTGATGTTATCTTGCTGGGTGGTGATTTATGACATGGTGGCCATTCCCTCTGATAAAAAATTCTTTTTACAGCCTCATTATTTTCCTGTTTACTCTCTTTTGAGATTAGATGCTTGTTGGTGCCCTTAGATCGGTGCACTGTTTTGGGGCTTCCAAATCCAGTTGATGAAGATGGAAGAGATTTCGACCTGCTTAATTGGCTACAGTCATCCTTCCAGCCATCATTGCTGCTTATGCCCAAAGGTTCAACCTCCCTATCAGATTGCTCATCATTAGAGAATTTATCTGTGAATCCCTCTGTAATTCGTGCATCCGAATGTTGTGTAAGTGTAACTTCCTTATCAGTGGAAGCTAGCATGTCAGCCAGGGTGCTGCTTCTACAAACAGCTCCCTTATTCTCAGAGTTTCGAGAGGATCTCCACCTAGCAGTGAGTCTTTTCTTTGCCTCCCTACTGATAGAAGATTCTTTATGACGAGAAGATGATTGTGAATATCCCATATTCAAGTTTACAAAACTTTTTGAAGCAGCAGACCTCATCGCTGGTTCTTCTGCAGATTCATTTCCAGACAAGCTACAAGAACTCTCGTCCCCAGCATATCCTTGAAAACTGGAGCATGTTAAATTCACTGGGGACGTACAAACTTCTTTTCTCATCTGCCGGGTTCTCCCATGAAGAATTTCTCTGGACTCTTTGTCATTGTGCCTAGATGCAACTTTCTTGTCTAGAGAGTTTTTCTTTCCCCTAAATTCCTTGTTTGTTCTTTCAACAGTTTTAAACTCCCCAAGATCTGAACATTCTTGAAAAGAATGAGAATGGTACATAATATTTCTAGCATTCTGCACTTTGCCTATGTTTGGTTTGAGAACAACAATTCTCGTAGGGAGATGTTCTAGTTCATCTTTCTTTTCCAAAATTTGTGAAGACTTTGAAAAATGACCGGAGAAAGAACTGTCCGAGTGGCTGGAATGACCGCCCCGCTGAGTGTAATGTGATTTACTACTATTCTTATGTGGAGTTCCCCTCTCTGAGTTGCCTCGAAGCACAGGATAGTCACCCTTCTTATTGTCCAATGACTCCATAGCAGTTAAGCAACCACGACAAGAATAGGAGTCGGCATCTCGCAGATCATGCATATGCCTAGCAAACAGTGAGCCTGGTTGATGTAGAAACTTCAGTAGAAGATCTCGGTTTGACTCTAGCGCATCAAGTGCATCATGAAATTCCCTCGAGTCACGTGACTTCTCATCAGTTGATAAGCGTTTAGCATCCAAGAACTTCTGCCGAATGAATGCCATTTCTGATTCAGTCAACTCAATTTTTGGGGTTCCTTGATCTGGCTTTCTACTCTGGTCTGTCTTTGAAGTTTCCAAGACCTCAAAAACATCCTTAAATTCTTGTTGACCCTTCGAGCTTCTCCTGGTCATTTGACCATCAAAATAAATGCCCCTCCTACCCACCTTCTCCTTTGATATACACCTCTGTGCATAGCCCTCTGATGAACATTTTTGTCGACTGTAAGCAGACCTCGGCATGCCATCAAGACCCATCAGTTTGGCGATAATGCCTGGCGACCTCTTTTTCATTTCAGTTTCTTTGGACATTTCATCTGCTAATAATTTCTTCACTGGAGCTCCAAACGTATCTTTAAAAGATCTCCGCCCCAGCTCGAGTGTGAACTATAAGAACAATTTCATTTCCGCATCATAATTCTTTACATCTCTTTGATATTTTCTAAAAATCATAATAAACTAGAAAATCCGCAAATCATGTAGAATATAACTAATATGTAACAATTGTACGCTGAAGGACTGAAAAGAACTTGCATACCGGATCATCTTCAGTAACACCACTACTGCTCGAACCGGAATCAGAGCCCAATGTCGGTAAGTTTCTCTGTTTCTCACTCTTTCTACTCCCTGAAATTTAATCCTACAACTTTAGGGTGGGAATTCAATAACGGAGCAAAGTTAAACACAGCAGAAATTTTCAATAACAGAGACGCTTAGTTGATTAAACAACCAAGATCTATCGTCTATTTGTTGGTTTTTAAGAAGAACATAGCGATTTAAGCGGACGATTGAGGAGAAGATACATTTGGAAAATTGTATTTATACAGCAAAAACAAACAGGCGTCTGGAAGTATCAAAACAGAAGAAAGAACGAAGGAAAAAGAAAAGGAAAAGTCGTGTAAATGGAAAATACAAACATAATTGGAACACGCCAAACCGAAAGAAAACGAAATAATCATGAACAGCACCGATCATACACAGACCATTATAGAAAGTCATAAAGCAACTACAAAATTTGCTTTAACAGAACAGCGAGCGGAAACCAGGCTAAGGACCAACAAATTGCATCATATGAACTCCACGACAGCCAAAAAGTAAGATTCCGTCATATTCCTGATCTTTATCATCAAACAAATTGCTGATACCGATCTTTACAACAATAAATCCCCGTCGAAAGAAGAAACTGAGCCAAATTTAACAACTAAACCTCATTCGTACAAACAAGTAGAATCTAATCTGTTCATTTCAACTCTTTCTAGGCAACCAAACAGAAGAGTACTCTTCACTCAGTGCAGTGAACAAATTCGAAACAATTTTCAGCCCAGATTGGCCAGGTAAATCACTAAAAAAAACATTAACAAACACACAAGTTCATCTCTCCATCTATTTCACACAATTTTTCAACCAGCAAGAAATTAAAAATAAAAAAAACAATAATAACTAAATAAATAACCTGCTCGTAAACCACGGTTAACAGGAGAAAACCTCTCACCGGAGCTCCGATCAGCATTACTGGCAACCTTGTACCGCTTATGGCGAATCATCTCCATCTCCATCTCCAAAGACGTTCATGAAAACCAGAGCAAAGCTAGAGATCAAAAATGCAGGAAGCAAGCAAAGAATCCATCGGTAGCCTTCAGTTGCAGGAGCATAAACAAGTGTAAGAAAAAAAAAATGGAAACAAGATCAAGATGCTGCGGAGTTTGTAGAGAGAGAATCTTTTAGTTTTTTAGTTTTAGTTTTTTGGATCCGTCCAGACAAATTGAAGCGAGAGGGCATTGAATACGGATCCGTTGCAACTGCCGACGGAGTGGAAGCGGTGAAAATGGTGTGAGTTTTGAGAGAGAGAAACTAGGCGCGTGAAGAGAGAGAAAGAGAGGTGGCGGAATTTATATTTTTTTTGAACTTTCAAAACACTGATATACGGACAAAGGGACTCATATCTTCGCGGCCAACTCCTACTACCCTATTTCCACGTGTCCATCAATATTCAAAATATTTTATTAATTAATTCATTTTTATTTTTGAAAATAAACCTCTGTATATGGTAAATATATATTACCATGTATGATAAGGTTGAATTGGATTGTCGAGTTATTAATTTTTTTTAATTATTTAAAAAAATTTCTACGAGAAACTTAATATAATGAATTCTTGTCCTTTATGCCGTGAAATACATATCACATTAATAATTAAAATATCGTAAAATTCAAATATTAAACATTCACAAGTCAAAATTTATTACGGGCAACCGTGACACGTCAAATATTATTAAATTTCTTAGCAATTTTAAAAGTTATGTACGGTTGGATTTGGTTGTAAACCCTATTTTTCGAGTTACTGTGAGATCCCTTGTACATAGAAACAAATCATTATTTATAAGGGTGTGGAAATCTCTCACTAATAGACGTATTTTAAAACCGCAAGGTTGACGACGATACGTTATGGGCTAAAGTGGACAGTATCTACTAGCAGTAGGGTTGAGTTGTTACAAATGTTATTAGAAACAGATATCGAGCGGTATGCCAATAAGGACATTGGGCACCCAAGAGGTGGATTGTGAGATCCCACGGCAGTTGGAGAGGGAAACAAATCATTCTTTATAAGGGTGTGAAAACCTCTACTTAATAGACGCATTTCAAAACTGTGAGGTTGACGACGGTACATAATGGGCTAAAGTGAACAATATCTACTAGCAGTGGGATTGAGCTGTTACAAATGTTATAAAAAATAGACACTAGGCGATATTGCCAACGAGGACGTTGGGCACCCAAGGAGGTAGATTGTGAGATCCCACATCAGTTGGAAGGAAAAACAAATCATTCCTTGTAAGGGTGTGCAAACATCTCCCTAACATATGCATTTCAAAACTGTGAGGTTGACGACGGTACATAATGGGCTAAAGTGGGCAATATCTACTAGCAGTAGGGTTGAGTTGTTACAAATTTTATAAAAAAAACAGACACTGGGCGATATGCCAACGAGGACGTTGGGCACCCAAGGAGGTGGATTGTGAGATCCCACATCAGTTAAAAAGGGAAACAAATCATTCCTTATAACCGTGTGGAAACCTCTACTTAACAGACGCATTTCAAAACCGTGAGGTTGATGGCAATACATAATGGGTTAAAGTGGACAATATCTACTAGCAGTAGGGTTGAGTTGTTACAAATGTTCTCAGAAACAAACGCCGGGCGGTATGCCAACGAGAACATTGGACCCCCAAGAGGGTGGATTGTGAGATCCCACATCAGTTAGAGAGGAGAACGAAACATTCTTACAAGAGTATAGAAACCTTTTTCTAATAAACACATTTTAAAATTTCAAGGGTGATACGGATACATAATAATGGGTCAAAACAGACAGTATCTACTAACAATAAGGTCCGTTACAATTCCAACCAACGAATCCAACCAAAACATTCTGTTGTCAACAAATCCAGCTCAACCCAAATTCAAAAAAAAAAAAAAATCTAACTCAACCCAACTCTTTCAAATTGAGTTGGATAACCCGAGTTGTTCGGGTAATTTGAACACCTGTACTTTTACACGCCGACATATATATCTATATCTATATCTATATATATATATATATATATATATTTGAAATTTATTGAATTTTAAAGGTATATTAATTTTTTTTTCTTGGGGTATGAGCTCAAGTTTGGACAAAAGAAAGGGTATTATTGGTTGTATTGGAGAGGTTGTAATGGAATCTTTAATTTTTGGAAGCATTGTGCTAGACCTCAAGCATGTCCTTATTTTGTCTCTTACCTTCATTTATTTTTCTTATATTTATTAATATGCTGTATTTTTATTCGCTATACATTAATTTAATAATTAAAAAATTAGACACGGTCGATTTAAGTTACAGTGTTCATAGATTATATAATATCTTATAAGTTTCTCTCGTGACAATAGTTGACGTGCGTATAAACTACTTCAAGTACTCAATATATAAATATATTATTAATAAGTAATATAATGTGCTTTCGCTAGCATATTAAATTAATTAAGACATATATCATTAATCAAATATGAGTGTTCATATGATTCGATAACCTGATCAATCAAAACTACCCAACCCAAACCATAAGGGGGGTTGGGTTGAATTTTTTAAAAATCGAAAAATCGAGTAGGTTTGGAGGTTGACTTTTTTTTTTTTAATATTAATAATATTTGACGTTTACCACCAATGTTAGTAATATGTTGTAATTGACTTTGTTTTTGTCAGGTCAACTCAATTATCTTAAAAATAGAGTTGTAACTCAACTCAACTCTACCTTACTTCTGAAATTATTATGAATATTAAGAATATTTACTATTATAATTGATGCTACTGATGTGTTGTAACCGACTTTTTTTTGTCGAGTCAACCTAACAATCTCGAAAATAGAGATACAACCCAACTCAACCCTACTCTACGTTTAAAATTATTATGAATATTAAGAATATTTGACGTTTATATCCGATGTTAGTGATGTGTTGTAACTGACTTTATTTTTGTAAATGTTTAATATTTGAATTTTATGAGATTTTAGTTATTCATATAACATGGATGGTGAATAAGTCGACAACTGAACCCAACCCAACCCAACCGGAAAATTGAGGATTTGACTGAATTCCATTCAGGTTGTTCGGGTCACCAACCTAACTAACCCAAAATTTCAAATTGTTCCAAAAAAATTTCCTCAATTCAACCGATGTACCCAAATAAAAATACTTTTTCATGAAAATTAATGGAAAAAAAATAATAATAAATAAGAGAGAATTCATGGAAGAATAAAGCCATCAATCATGGGTGAATATGATTAGAGTAGCACTTGATTGGGTTGGTAGCTTCATGTTTGCAAATTAAGCAAACATATCTAATATTGCAATAATTACTCTAAATTCACTTTTTTTTTTTTTGCTTGATTATGTCTATAAGCATATAATTAATTTTTTATTTCATTTTTTTTAAACTATACGACTCGACTAGATCAAATTGATCTAAATTGCTCGCTCGAGTTTAACTTATAATTGGTCGTATAGCTTCAATAATTTGAATCTCTAGTCAACTATAGAATTGTTCATATCACTCGAAGGCTCGAACAATCGAGACCACTTGACCCAAATTGTAAAACTTGATTTGGGTTAGAGTTTTTTACGGGGTTGGGTTGAATTTTGAAAATTTTTGGTTCGTGAATTGGAGCTTTTATGGTCAGGTTAACTTAACCAACTCGAAAATAGGGTTCACAACCTAACCCTAGTTTACGTGTAAGATTGTAATGAAAATTAAGAATGTTTGACGTTGTAACAGATACCAACTAACGATGCGTTGTGACTTATGAATGTTCGGTATTTGAGTTTTATGAAATTTTAGTTATAAATGTGACATGTATGGTTAGAAAACTAAGATTATTTTCAATAATTAAAAATAATAATGACTCGACAACCTGATCCAACTCATCAAAATAAAGGGTTTGATTTTGAATCTGATTTACATTATTCATTCACCAACCCAACAAATCCAAAATTTCGATTTAGTCCAAAACTTTTCCCCAACTCAATTCATGTACACCCTTAATCAACATCGGTTAAAGAGGAGAACAGAGCATTTCTTATACGTGTAACGACCCGAAATTTTCTACTTAATTTAAGGTCGCTACTGTATACGTACCATAAACATTAAATGCGGAAGACTTCATTTAAATTCCATAAAACATAACCTTTTAACTTAAAACACAGCCATGGTCTTACTTGTTTCGAAAACATCTTAAAAACGACACAACAAAAGACTAAATAAAATAAATAAGCGTTTAAGTTAAAAACATCATATTCTAGCATAAGCTAAGAAAATAAATACCACTATCCTATGCATGTGCCATGGTCTCGAGTTGCGATGCCGTCGTCAGCCGTACAGGAATGTCTTGCCTTACCCTTAAAAATGTAGTAGCACATGACTTCAGTATTTAAAGAAATACTGACGAAGTGACCCCACTATTGAGGTTGCAACAATCACATGCAATGAGATGATGAGACCTATCTTTCATTCCGTTTTCCCTACGGTGCTGTCCTAACGGGTAATTTTGGACGTGTACCATATACTCTACACGAAGCCCATACGTGTGAGTATGGGCTCACCAGCTAGTTCGCACACCGCTGGGCCACTTTCCTTATTCAGTGGGCATACTCTAGGAGCCCCTTAGGCTGGACACCCGCTAGAACTAATAACAGTCACGGTAGTGCTATGCAAAGCATAACGATTGTTGTCCTGCCATTAGATGTACGCGTTCGTACCCTCGTGATGGGATAAGGTATCCCCAAATGCATGAGCACACATAATGCATGAGGTCCCAAAACTTTTCCATTTTCATTATCCTTTAGTACAACCCTGCTAGCATTATGTACATATCATATCATTTTTCATATCGTTTCAGATATCGTTAATCATTCATATTATATCGTTTCTCATTCTTCAGTTCTCAAATCATACATAATTCTAACGAGATTATATTCCATGCCATTTATCGTAATTTCATGTCATTCATATCATGTCGTATACATACAATTTAAGAGACCTAACATAACGTTTTATGCTTTTAACTAACATTTCATCATATACACATCATACCATGACATATTGCATCACAATGTATCATATCATAAACAAGTCATAACGTAAACACTTCGTAGTCATATCGTTTTCTAACTTATCATAGCCTTAACGTTCTTATACCTATCACAGACATATCATTACGTAAACGTACCTTAGTCATATCATCACAAGAACGTAACCTAACGCTATCGTTCTATCAATCTATCACAAACCTATCCCTTTCTACCCGTAACCTAGCTGTATTATTGTAATAGCCCAAAAGTAAATAAATAAACAAATAAACAAATAAAAATAATTATAAAAATAGTTCAAACAATAATAATAATTAATTAATTAATTTTAAAAAAAACATTTCCCCATTTCTCTACTAACCTCTCATCCCTTCCCACAATTATCTCTTCTCAACCAATCCTTACGCCAGAAAATAACGGCAAAAAGAAAAAGAAAAACAATAATTGTCAAATTTACTTCAGAAAAGAAAGAAAGAGAATGACTTTTACACCGTTAAGATTCACCCAGATTTAGGTCATCTGATATATATTAAATCTTCATTTTCTTTTATCCTATTTTTTTTAGAAATCACAATCAATTATAGTTAGATTTTCATTCAATTATTACAATGATCTAGTTTCAGTTAGAAACTAAATGTCAATTGTACGATTTAGTAAATAGTTTAATATTAGATTAAATTTTTATCCTAGCAAAATGAATAGATTAAAGATAGAATAACAAGAAAACTTCTGAATAGGAAACAATGATATAAGTAAATAGGAAACATAAGGAAAGATTTGGAAACAGAGATACAGTGTAAATCTGGAATACATGAGAACGGAATTAAAACCCATAAAAAAAATTGGGAATTAAAAACCACACACTAAATATAGAGGGAAAGGTAAATACAGAGAGTAGTAATATCTAAGTCTTCAACTACTGTACCTGTGACTTTTTGAGTTTTCGGATAGACCCCTGTGATAGAGTGATATATTAGATTCGCACTAATGAGTTAGTAAGAATACAAGACCTCTTCCCCAACCCAACTCACGGAACTCAAGTCATCCTTTCTCTTCTCTTTATAGCATATCCCAATCTCGTCGCTTTATCCCTGCCCTTTTCTTTCTACACGAGAGGGTAGCCCCTCGGTTAAGGTTTTCTTACAAATGCTAATTAGGTTAGCTTCTTTTTAGCTGTATCTACTTTCTTATACAACATAACCATGAAAAATAAGATTGTTGATAAAAATATAATTGTAGATATATAACATTTCAAGACTTTTAACAATGGACCAATGTAAATTAGAGAAATAATGTTGTAGAGTTCAAACCCGAAACTAATGTCATGGGCTCATATAGGTTGACTCGGATTTCAAAGGACGGAATCAAACTTTCATTAAAGATATATTCGTGACAACGACTTAAGCTAGCCAGGTAAGTGGCTCACCCGGCGTAGGTTACGCGTTATTTGCTGTATGTTGGCATGCGCCCGTGGATTTGCACATGTCATTAAATTGTATGCTAGTTTAATGTGCTTAAGTACGAACTCATGTGAACGTGAATGTATGTTATGTATGCTGCTTAGTTTGATGTGATACGTTATGTATGTGACGATATGTTGTTCCTGAATGACTAGGACATGATTGTATGGAATATGTGAATGTAAACAGCATGAATTGTATGACATGAAACACGATCAACTGTCTGGAATCATAACCCCGATAAGAATATGTATGAAATGTGAATTGAAAATGAGAATGACATGAAGCATGGAACGTGACAGGGGGGTTATGATCATTAATGATAAATGTAGAAGTAGGGGGACCTCATGCATTCTGTATGTTCATGCATCTGGGGGGATACCCCTATCCCATCACGAGGGTACGGACGCGTATATCCAATGGCAGGACAACGATCATTATGCTTTGCATAGTACTGCCGTGACGATTCTAGTTTTAACGGGTCTCGGCATAGGAGGCTCCTAGAGTATGCCCACCGGATAAAGAAAGTGGCCCAGCGTTGTGCGAACTAGCTGGTGAGCCCATACTCACATGTATGAGCTGTGTGTAGAGTATATGGTACACCTCCACGATTACCCATTAGGACAGCGCCGTAGGAAAAACGAAATGAAACGAAAGATAGGTCCCATCGCATGTGATTGTTGCATAACCCCGATAGGGGGTCACTTACTGAATATTTTAGAAATACTCAAGCCTTGTGCTACTACATTTTTCAGGTTAAGACAAGACATTCCTGTACGGCTGACGACGGCATCGCAACTCGAGACCATGAGACATGCATAGGGTAGTGGTATTTATTTTCTTAGACTTAGGCTAGACCAGGATGTTTTTAACTTAAATTCTTATTCATTTTGTTTAGTCTTTTGTTGTATCGTTTTAAAGATGTTTTCGAAACACGTAAGTCCATGGCTGTGTTTTAAGTTTAAGGTTATGTTTTATGGAATTTAAATGAAGTCCGCAATCAATGTTTATGGTACGTATACAGTAGCGACCTTAAATTAAGTAGAAAATTTTGGGTGTTACAATTCTTCCATCAATCTCTCTTATCCATATCACTTCAGTATGTAACCTAACCTTAACGTTTCATGAACGTATTTTACTCCTATCGTTACATTTCGTTTTGTGCATCCTTCTCATATCCTATCTCAAACATATCCTTGAACACATCGTACCGTAATTATTATCATACAATTTACATATTATAACATATACATAACATTTAAGAAACATATCGATCCACAGACAATTCACACATATCAATATATATGACACGTGCAAAACCACAGGACACGTGTCAACATCAAATATAACCATGCCGATAATAAGGTCACTTACCTGGCTAGCTTAAGTCGTTGTCACAAATATATCTTTAATGAAAGTTTGATTCCGTCCTTTGAAATCCGAGTCAACCTATGTGAGCCCATGACATCAGTTTCAAGTTTGAAATCTACAAAACCATTTCTCTAATTTACATAGATCTATGGTTAAAAGTCTTGAAATATTATATGTTATAATTATATTTTTATTAAAAATCTTATTTTCCATGATTACTGTGGTATAAAAAGTAGATAAAGCTATTTAAGTTATTCTGACTTTACTACTCTCTGTATTTACCTTTCTCTCTATATTTAGTTTGTAGTTTTTAATTCCTTAATTTTTTTTCATCGGTTGTCTTTTGATTCTGTTCTACAAATCTTTCCTCAATCTTTCCTCCTCTCTCTTTGTAATTATTTTCATTCTAAAATTTTCTATTCTGTAAACATTTTCAATTACGTAAACAAGATCTCTAATCCTATATTTATTTTTATGTAAACAAATATTATTAGCTTAGTCGAATCTTTGGCTACTATCGTACAAATGTATAGATCTGCCAACTAAAATTTTACTAATTATAACCTTATTTCCTATAACTTCAAAATCTAACAAAAAAAAAAAAAAAAAAAAAAAA